GGCTCCAAAGGAAAGATTCCATTGGACTCGTGGGCGAAGGGATACGCTGTCGTGTACGTGATCCGGTCACAGTCATCGGAGAAGAGGCTCGACTCGGAGGCGATAAAACGGGAGCTCGATCCAGACATTATCAAGTTCATTCGGGGCAAGAAGCAACCATTAGCATTGATCGGGTACACGGAAGTGACGAAGGGAAAGGCAGCGGTGGAGAAGAGCTCAGCCAAGCAGGAGTACTCCATCCGTCCGTTCCAGTTCCGAGCTCGTTCGGGAAACGAGTAAGGCCGACATGTCCAAGGGGGACAATGTCGGCCGGAACTGAAACCCCTTACACACTCAAGTCCGAATCCGAGCTCACGAAGATGTCTGGGTCAGAAGAGCGAAACCAGTCTCAGGAAGAGAGTAAGAAGGCCACGGTTATCAATGAGGTCCTGATAGGGTCCGTCGTTGGACAGATCGGGAGTCCTATCCACGATAAAGTGTGCTCTTTGCAGCTGGAAATTCCTCCTGAGCTGACAGTGGTCTGTGACTTGATTTCGAGTAGTGATCCATCTAAGCGGCAAACGGACGTCACGGCTATTTGTGATCCGGGAGCGGGGAGATCCTACTGGATTTCGTCTAATGAGTGCGAGACCACATTTCCAACTGAGTCCACAAATCGCTGGGTAGAATTGGCTGATGGGTCTAAGTGTGCAATCAATCGCAAGATTAGAGTTCATGTGTCACTTAAGAAGCCGAAAGCACCCACAGTGGGCCCAGTCGAGTTTCTGGTACTCCCGTATGAGCAAAGCAGGCTGGAGGGGAGCTACCGTCTACTCATTGGGAGAGATTTGGGAGGCTATCTGGGTCTTCAGCTAGATTTGGGGAGGGGTCTAGTCTCAGTGAGCGCCTTGGCTGCCGGGCGAGAGCACCATGAGACTCTCTGCGATTCCTCGAGCGGAGACGAATGTGATCTTTTGAGATATCTCGGAGTGGATGCGCCGGGATTGGTGGCACAGCCAGAGCCGATACCATCTAGTACCCATCTCGTGCCTAAGCTAACAGAGGAACTGAGCCAGGTGAGCGAGCGAGTGCTGGATGAAGTGGCAGGTGGTCAAGCTATCAAGTCCTCGGAACTGCCAGGGTATCGTCTATATGCGAAAAAATTGGCGGCGGAGGACATGAAAGATTGTTCGCAGCAACGCGCGGCCATCTTTGTGGAACTTCCGATGGTAACCGGAAGCGTTCCGAGAGTGCAGCGCTATGCACATTCATTGTATATGAAGTTGTCCTCTGAGCATCAAGCCATATATGGGAAGCTAATCGAGGACTTCGTGCAGCGACAATGGTGGTGGAGCGAGCAGGACATTCCTGACAGCATGGAGGGCCGTCAGCGTCTACCAGAAAGTCCTTGTTTCCTCACGCAGTTAACGAGGAAGCCAAGGTTGGTGGTGGACTGCAGGGCCGTGAATGCGGCTTTGGGTCGGGCTAGTTCATTGAAGATCAAGGTCACTGCTCAGCTCCTATCTATTCGTGCGGAGGGAAGCAGCTGTCTTCTCACGGCCGATGTTCAGCAGGCATTCTATCGATGCAGGGTGACCAATTACCTGATCCCTCTACTCACTGCTGTAGGCCTCTACTTCTCATCGAGGGTCATATTTGGCCTGAATGGGGGAGCAGGCATTCTACAGATCGGTCTTGGGGAAATAGTAGATAAGGCGGTTCGCAGCTTCGCAAATGTGAAGTGGGTGCAGAAAGCCTTCTCTAGTCATCTCTACATGGACGATTGGACAGCACATGGCTCTGACGTGTTGACCATCCTGCACCTCTTTGCCCTGACCATCTACTGTATGCTATTATTCGGCTTTGCGAGCCAGTTAGCAAAAGTGGGAGCCCTTATTCAGCCTAAGGATCGAGCACTCTTCGATTCGGTATGTGCTAATCTTCAGATGAACATCCCAGTGCTAGAGGAGGTAAGTCTACTTGGGGTTGGAGTCCGATTGGCCGACGATGAGATCGAGATCGATTGTCGTAGGCTAGCGAAGCGGTCCCAAATACAGATATTCTTGGGAGATAGCCATCCCACGAAGAAGAAGGCCTTCTCTGTAGCGGGTATTATCGGCCACGACAGTTTGTATGCACATCCGGAATGTCGCCTGGTCGCGGACATATTGAGGGCGATCACGGGAAGGTGCTTCAGTCAGGCGTCATGGTCGGCTGTATATGATATAACTGCTCTCTCTTCCCCTCTGCAGGAGGCCTATCGGACAACTCTGGAGTGGATACGAGAGCTCACTCTGCAGGGAGATCACGATCCTTGTATTCATAGATCGCCCATCATTGACGGAAAAGTTGGGCTGGACTTCATCCTCGAGACCGACGCATCGTTGCTGGGATGGGGATGGTCACTGCAGATGAAGCCATCTGAATCTGCGGGGGATGCTGCGATGATAGAATTGGCAGCAGCAGCAGGTCGGTGGTCAGCTCGGGAGTCAGTTTATCACTCTAATCGCCGGGAACTCATCGGTCTATGGCGGGGTCTACAGTTCACCGTGAGCTTCTTGGAGTATTATTACCACTCGAGATCGCCGGTCAGAGCATGTAGCCTAACTGTTAGAAGTGATAACGTCTCTACGGTGAAATGGTCTTCCGGCAAGAGACCGTCCAGAGCTCTCGAAGCCAGAGCAATACAGCGGCTGGCATCGGTTATAGAGGAGGAGCTAGAAATGGCTAGAACTCTAGCTAGCGTGACGATCTGCCATGTCCCAGGGATCCTGAACGTAAGAGCCGATGGGTTGTCGAGACTTCTCGAGCGGCGATGCGGTACTCTATCTCCGACATGCTCGTTGGGGAAAGTCTTGCAGGATCATCTAGACTCTCCAAAGGCCTCAGCGGGCATAGTCGATGACCTAATCTGCCGGCTGGGGGATCTGCCACCAACGATTGATGGAAAAATCGTTCACGATCGTCTGTGCCGTATATCGGTGGATTCAGAGCCGGAGTTGCGGGGTCATCTCAGGCCTTTGACTGAACGAGTTGTAGGAGATTGTTGGGACATTGAGGCTGTATTCGACCGCTGGGCGAGTCTTAGATGGTGTCTACGCTGCTGGAAAGCGGGGGGAAGCATCAACGAATATCCATGGCAATACTCGGAAGAAGATCAATCAAGTTACGTCAGAGCCATCCAAGCGGTGCACTGGTCGTCGGCTGAGCGCAAGGAGCAGCTTGAGGACAGAAGGCATGCGGAAGACCCTCACGGAGTGGTTCGTTTCCGGTTACCTATGCTAGACGGGACTTGTAAATGGTGCTATGTCGTCCCGAAGAGAGCGGGTCCGTTCAGGACAAGGCTTGTGAAAGCAGCTCACCGCTTGGCCGTCCACCCTGGGGTGGCGGCCACGGTGGAGAAAGTTCATCAGATGGGATTCACCAGTCCAGCGTTACGTGGGGCAGCTCGAGATGAAATCAACACCTGCGTGATATGCCAGTTGTTATCGGCAAGAAGGCTGTGGAGCCAACCCAGGGGAGTTGCAGGACCGGGATCCCAAGACCCGGAGCTCAAGTTGGATAAGATGATGTTAAAGAGTCGTCCTCCCTACTATGCCGTAGCTGCCGATGTCATCAAGGTGAACAGTGATCTGATATTTATGTCCTTTTTCTGTCTGCTGACTCGGCATTGTTTGTGGATTGTGATCGAGGGGCTCGACAGTGGTAGCCTGGCGGAGGCTACATCCCGAGCTCAGAAGAGGGAAGGCGGATTTCGCCACCTGTTGGCTGATGGAGCAGTGGCAACGAGGCCATACGCGGAAGCGGTGAGATCGTTCGGAATATCGGTGATGGCAGCAGATCCACGAGCGCCATGGTCAACAGGAGTAGAGACTCATCATAGGATAGCTTTGAAGGTATCGAGGGTGCTGTTGCAGAGGCGATTCCGCATTCATGGAGATTGGACTTCCACCACCAAGCAGGACTTCGCCGATGAGGTGTGTTGGATATTGATAGAGCCACTCACACAGGCGGATATCACCAGCGATGGTCGATTATGAGTCCTCACCCCAGATCATCTCCGTTATGGATATACTCGAGAGAGCGGCAGTTGCGTCGAGCAAGGTTTTCGTGTGACTCGCTTG